GGATCAACATGGCTAATGACTTCACTCTTCGGCCAGAGTACTCCTTACGACTAAGGGCATCCGCCATGACGTTTGCCTTTCCCGGATGATAGCGAATCTCACACAATCATATTCGTTGAGCAATTCGACCCAACGTCGCTGTCTCATGTTTAACTCCTTCTGGTCGAAGATGTGTTGGAGGCTCTTGTGGTCTGTAAAGATAGTGCACTTGGTACCATATAGGTAGTGTCTCCAGATTTTAAGAGCGAAGACCACCGCCCCAAGTTCTAAGTCATGAGTGGTGTAGTTGACCTCATGCGTTTTCAGTTGTCGTGAGGCATATGCAATAACTTTTCCCCTCTGCATTAGCACACAGCCCAGCCCTTGCTTCGAAGCGTCGCAATACACCACAAAATCTTCGGTCCCCTCTGGAAGAGAAAGGATGGGTGCACTGCAAAGGGCCTGTTTCAAGGTCTGAAATGCAGCATCTTGCTTTTCTCCCCAGTGGTAGGTCACACATTTCTGGGTTAAAGCGGTAAGAGGCTTTGCGATGCTGGAGAAATTCTGAATGAACCTTCGATAATAACCAGCAAGACCTAGAAATTGGCGAATTTCTGTTGGTGTAGTTGGTGCAGACCAGTTTTTGATAGCCTTGATTTTTTATGGATCCACGTGGATTCCTTCCTTGCTGACCACGTGACCGAGGAAGTCCACCTTTCTAATCCAAAACTCACATTTTGAGAATTTTGCATACAGTCTCTCAGTCCGTAACGTCTCTAAGACTTGCCTCAGATGTTGACTATGCTCTTCTTTATTCTTTGAATAAATGAGTATGTCGTCTATGAATACTATTACAAACTTATCCAAGAATGGACGACATACCCGATTCATTAGATCCATGAATACTGCCAGGGCATTGGTTAGTCCGAACGGCATCACTACGAACTCGTAATGTCCGTATCTCGTTCGGAAGGCCGTCTTGGGAACATCACTCTCCAGTACTCGCTGCTGGTGATATCCCAATCTCAGATTGATCTTGGAGAAGTAGTTGGCTCCTTGGAGTTGGTCGAATAAGTCATCGATTCGGGGTAGGGGGTATCGATTCTTGATGGTAAGTTTGTTGAGTTCTCGGTAGTCGATGCACATTCTGAATGATCCATCCTTCTTTTTCACGAACAACACGGGTGCTCCCCATGGCGAGAAGCTCGACCTAATGAATCCTTTTCCAAGTAGCTCATTCAGTTGGTTGGATAGCTCTTGCATCTCTGTCGGGGCTAATCGATAGGGTGCTTTGGCTACTAGGGTAGCTCCGGGAACCAGATCAATTCTGAACTCGACTAGTCTCGTGGGAGGTATTCCCGGAAGGTCCTCGGGAAAAACGTCGGGAAAATCGCATACGTCGGGCACATTCTTGATGTCCTGGACTTCGTGTTTCGCATCTACAACATGTGCCAAAAACGCGTGACACTCCTTGCATAGGCATTTCTGAGCTTGGATACTTGAGATGATATGAAGTGTGGTACTGGGTTTGTCGCCCAAGACAATGAATGTTTCGCCGGTTGGCAGATTAAGGCGAACGGCCTTATCGTAACATAAAATGTCCGCATGATGAGAACTCAGCCAATCCATGCCAACGATGACATCGAAACTCTTAATCGAGACTGGCATGAGGTTGATTGAAAAGGGATTATCATTTAAAGTTAGGGTGCAGTTTAAGTATATCTCATTAGTGCCTTCGGTTTTCCCGTTGGCCATTTCTACTATGAATGGTTCACTTAATGATTGTGGTATTGATTTTAGCGGGCCTTTAAAGTCGTGACTCACAAAACTCCTTTCCGCTCCACTATCAAACAAAATGCATGCATACGAGTTATCGAGAAGAAACATACCCGTAACAACAGTAGGGTCCGCAATGGCTTCATCTTGTCCCATTGCGAATTACTCGGCCCCTTCCGCCGGTATTCCGGTTGTTTTCCTTTGGGCAGTCCCTGCGGTAGTGCCCCGTGTCTCCGCACTCAAAGCAGGAACGACTTACTCCGGTATTAGCAATGGGGGCGGATGGTTGGGTTGGCTCTTTGCAATAGCGGGTTGTATGTCCCTTCTTATTGCACCTGGTGCATTGAAGATCATGGCAAGGACCGTGGTGGTGGAATTTGCATTGGTTGCACTTAGGAAGTTTCCCATTATATGAGCTTGTGGGGGCAGGGTTGGCAGGTACAGTCATAGCATGGGTCGCTACTACTTGTTGTTTCTTGGGGTTCTCCTGGAGGGTTTATCCCCTCCTCTTGTTCCAAGGCCTACTCTGGCCCTGAGCCTCCTTAGATGGATTTGCGGTTGCTGCAATGGTACCCTGTTTTACTCCGTGGTCGATGAGTCGTTGAGCCAGGCGTTTAGCGCTGTTGTAGGTAATAGGGTTGGAAGCTAGGACATACCCTTGAATCTGGGGTGACAACCCCCAAATGTACCTTTCAACCTTCTTTGATTCTGGGTTGACCATGGTAGGGCACAATGCAGTGAGGTCGTTGAACCTAGCTGTGTAGGCGACTAGGTCAGACCCAATCATTTTCAGATTCCAGAGCTCCTGCTCAAGCTTTTGCACTTCGCCTCTTGGTCAGTATTCTTCCAGTAGTAGAACCTTCAGATCTTCCCAACTCATGGCATTGGCGACAGTGAGCGTCACCGAATTCACATGGCTTTTGCACCAAGTGAGGGCTCGATCTATGAAGGTGCAAGCAGTGAATTTAACCTTGCTTGCTTCTTGGCATGACCAGATCTCAAAAACTGTTTCGGTCTTTTCGAACCATTGCATTAGCGCAATGAATCCTCCAATTCCATTAAAGGTTTTTGGCTTAGCGTTAGAGAACTCCTTGTAAGTACATTCTCTTACTTGACCACGACCAGTGCCATGATTTGAATGATTCGTGCTGCTACCTGTCCCTCCATTTTCGTTGGAGTTTATTTGCGAGAGGGCTGCAGTTACTGATGCTGTGATAGCAGCCTGGACCATGGTCGGATCATACGTTGGTGGTGGAGGTGGTGCCGTGCCCGGTCTGGGCCTTAGGTTTGGACGAGGAGGCATCGCACTGCCAAAAGAAAATGAAAGATTTATAAGTTTTCGTAGTTCAGAGTTGAATGATATTGAGTTAACTTTTAATAGTTCTAAGAAATTGGGTTTGACCAACACAGGGTTTTGAGCTTGAAAATAAAGTTTGAATAGATGTACTTATGAATTGAACGAACTACACATAATTAACAACAAGAAAGGGATATGCCCTTATATATATTCAACATATAGTTGTGTTACATCTGAGTCTAGACAAAAGTTCTTGACCTTTCTAAAGGTCTCCGATTACAGAAATTTTTTAAGAAAATAATACTTTTATCCGAAGTCCTAATTTATAACAAAAATTGAGAGTCGGGCAAGTACTACTTGCGGTGCGGTTTGCGCTTGGAGCTCGACTCCGTGTCGGACTACTTTGACTCCATGAGGCACCTATCAAACGCAGCTTGTTGTTCCCTCAATTCTGCAAAGGCTGCATCTGCTTGTGCTTGGAATGCTTCGGCGCGAAGGTGGATGTCATTCTGCAACATCTCTAGGCGGTTGATGTCGGCCGTGTGGATTTGTACTTCCACGTTGACCTCTCGGATTCAGTTGGCTTGTACTCCGGATTGATAGCACTGGTTGGCGAGTTTGCCAACCATGACCGGAAGTGCTCGGTCTGCTGATCCCCCACCTCTGACATCATAGAAGTCTCGGCACATGCCGTAGGGAGGGCGTAAGCTTTGTTGTTGGCTCCAAATGATGGAGGTGACTTCCCCACACAGGAGTGGGTCCTTGGAAGTTCCTCACGTGGACAGAAGGTTGTGGGATTGGTGGATTGATAATTTCTGGCTCCGAATCTGTGCTAAAGTCATCTCCTTCCTCCAACTCTATAGGCTCTTCGTCTTCTTCAGGATCTTCTTTTGATCCATCCTCCATTACCTTGGTTGGGGTAGTAGGGGTCATTGGGGTGATGGAATCCTACCATTTAGTCTGTACGAGAATAGGGTTAAGAATTTACTATAAGCTAGAGCACATGAAACTTACCCTTAAGTTTAATGGTTGATGACAACACAAAAACTCCCTTAGTATTATGTAATGATGTGCTTTTGGTAAGTTTTAAAAGACAAAACTGCAAATTTGGTCCTTGTGGTTTGCCAAAACCTTTGGATGGGGTCCAAATAGTTTCCAGCTTGCACCAAAGGTCCAAAATCAAGGTTTTCATGGGTTTTTAGTCCATTCCGTCATTGACCGTTTGTTTGGAGCCGTTAGTGCCTTCACATGCCTTCCATGTGAGGGCATTTTGGTCATTTTAGGTCCTAGCCTCCGTTGCCGCCACTTTAATTAATAAGATTGCAGACTGTACTCACTCCTTCGTCTTCTACTCATACCTCTTGATTCAAACGCAAAAACCCTAACGATCGTCTGAAAATTGGATTGTGTTCATGCTTTTGAAAATGTGGGGACTTAGAAATGTTGGAGAGATTTTCAACGTTCAAGAAGTTTATGGTAAGATTCAAACTTAGAAAACTCTATATTTTATGATCAAGCTTCAAACTTTGAAAAACTCTAACTAACAATCGTCTCTTTCTGTTTTGAAGATGGTTACCCCAACATATTCTCTATTGAACTTCATCACGGAGGGAGTTTCACAAAGTTTCCAAATATCAGGTATATTAATGGCCAAGTAAGGTACTTTGATGTTGTCGACATTGATGAATTTTCTGTTCATGAACTAGACTTGATGATGAGAGAATTAGGGTATGATGGTACTGAAATCATGTATTACCATTTCCGTTTGCCTAATGAAGGATTTGACTTTAGACTCCGAGCATTAGGTAACAATGATGATGTGCATAATCTCTCACGGTATGTTACCCATAATAACAAAATGATTAAAGTGTACACAGAGCATGGTCAAACAAAGTTGCTTACATATTTTATGTCCCCAACTGGTCCAAGAAGGGTTATAATAGAAGACATGGAGAAGCAGGATTCCATTAGACCCTCATCACCTGTAGTTGCTCATGAAGTGGTAACTCCAATCCAAATTGATGTTGGTGAGGGTGATTTAGGGTTAGCATTAACCTTATACAAATCAGCAACACCTGAATTTAGTAGGTCTAAAGGTTGGAAACATAGTAAAGGGGCATCGTCTTGTAGTAGAAAGCTTAACTTGGATTGGGAAGGTGCTGAAAAAACAATGGCATGTGGTGAAGTTGATAAGGGTAAGGGTGTAGAACGATTTGTAGATGAATTTGTTGTAGTTGATGCAGAAAAAGAGTTAAACAACGAGATTGATGTGAATGAAGAACTTGATGTGAACAAATCCAATGGTGAGGGTGTAGAAGGATTTGCAAATGAGGGGTATAGAGTTGTCATGGATAATGATCCTGAAGGAGTCAATGAATTTTCAACTAACATCAACATAGATGATGAGTTAATGACAAACTTTCAACCTTTTGAAGGGTTTGAAGACCAAGATAGCATCCCATTTAATGGGTTTGAAGACCAAGATAATATTCCTTTCAATGATGAGTGGAGACAAGAGGAGCCTAATGACATTGCGTTTGAGAATCAAAACAGTGAAGATGAAGATAGTGACTTTATGATTGATGAGGACAACATAATTGAAGATGTTGACGTTGACATGGAGGATTTCAATCTAAATATTGATACAGAAGCAAAGTTCAATGGATGTCAAAGAATGGGTGGTCAAAGAAATGAAGATAGTGATGAAGAAGATGATTTGGAGGTAATTGACAATGACGAGTGGGATTCACTAAGTGATGACTCAGGGGACAACAGGAAAAGAAGAGAAATGATCAAAGAGCTAGGGAAACAAACCTTATGTTCTGCTGGTGAGGTGCACAAGGTAGCTTTTCATATTGGGTAGAAATATAAAGCCAAGAAAGAATTGAAAGATAAAATTGACCTGCATGCTTTAGAGACAAGGAGGAATATCTCATTCACAAAAAACGACAAGAGTAGATTAACAACTGTTTGTGATGGAACTGTAGTTTTAAATGCAAGTGGGGTAGGTGGACCTACCTCTGGGAAAAAGGTAAAGGGTAAAGATGTAAACTCAGATAAAGTTAAATGCACATGGAAACTTCATGCATCTAGGTCAAGTGAACAGGACTATTGGTTTATTAAGACCTATAATCAGAAACACATCTGCCTCCAAACACGAAAAATCAGATCTTGCACAGCAACATTTCTTTCCAAACGTATTATGGATCAGATTGAAGCTAATCCTGGACTGCCTGTTCGTGCCCTACAAGAGCAACTCCAATCAACTTAAGGAGTTAGTATTTCAGAAGAGAAAGCATTTAGGGCAAAAGCATTAGCCACCAAAAATGTTGCAGGGGATTACGTAAAGCAATATGCAGCTTTGAGAGACTATGTACTAGAGCTACAAAAGACAAATGAAGGTACAACTGTAAAGATTGATGTGGTTTCAGAACCTGTGGTTTCATCCCCAACCAGGCAATTCAGAAGGATATACGTGGTTTATGAAACGACCCAAAAACACGACCAAAAATTTTCGTTTTTCCATATAATCAAAACCATAATATAAGTATCATAACATAAAACATACGCGATGTATCCCAAAACATAAAAAATATTGTGCGGAAAACTGTATCATACTACATCAATCCAAAACATCAAGAGACATCCCCAGGATAAAAGCTATGCTGTGGTGTGTGCGATGCTGTCACCCCGAGCTCTTCCCTTTGCTTGCGGAAGTACCTGAAA